CCAGACACACACAGGGAGCCCCTCACACACACACACACAAGGAGCCCCCCAAAGCTCCTCATACTTTCTTTCCAATAATATATTTTTTTTTTCCAAAAGTTTTCTTCTCAATGAAATCTCATCTCTAAGCCCCAACCACAGGAGTTTTCACAACCAGCCTACTGGAAAGTACAATTTCAAGGTCTCTTCAGCTGTTTTCTGTTTACAAACAGGCTAAAAAAAATAAATAAATCACCTTCTGGTTTCATGTGAGGGCAACTGTCCTGTTTGGTGTGACAGTGAGAACAGGAGGGAGCAGCACTCAGGGGGGGCAGCTCCTGCCTGGATAGGTACCCCCACACTGGTGTTCCCAAGGGCTGGCACAGCCCTCCACAGGACACACACCCTGGCACACAGCAGCCACCTTTCTCACCACCTCAGCTGCCCTCAAGTTGACAACAAAACGCACAGAAGGTTCTGAGATAGTTTGACAAACCCAAATCAAAACAAACAAGAGCCCCAAAAGTCCCCCCTCAAACAAACCCCATCCTGTGGGTAAAACCCAGGCAGGGTCATGGAAAGGTACTAGTTTCCAAGGAAGAGGCTTCATCAGGCAGAAAACTGCCTGCTCCTCTGTCAGACTCAGGTGACAGAAGGAGAAAAAAAAAAACCCAGCCCCTGTCCAGCAGAGAGGAGGAGCACAAGCCCTAGTGCCACTTACTTCTGTCCCTCAGCACCAGCGTCCTCTTCTCCCTGCGGCCGGGCTGCTGCATCTTGCTGCGGGTGGTGCCGGGGGCGCCGAGCTCGGGGGGCTGCCGGGGGCGGGGGTTGCCGCAGCCCCCGGCGCTGGGAGCCTGGTGTGGTCATACCTGCCAAAGGCCAGCGGCAGAAGCCGTGTCACACAGGGCGGAGCCTGGCACGGCGCCGGGACGCTGAGCAACTCCAAAGAGCTCCTTTTTGTTTGAAAAGGGGCTGCTCCGATCGGACTGCACGGCTCAGCCTCTCCCAAAGAGGTTTCCCAGCCTCCCAGAGCACACCCGTGTTCCCCAGAGACACCCCAGCAGGGCTGAAAGACAATTATTCATGTGCCTGTTCAATTAGATCCTCGTCAACCCCTCACGCGAACAGGTTTGCCGGCGTCGCTGGGAGCAGCAACATCAAAATGTCATGGGATTGGCATTGGGATGCCATGGAATGTGGGAAGGAGGGACACCTCCTGACCTCAGTGCTCCTCTGCCAGCAGCAACACCTATGCCTCCTGCTCCCCCACCAGAGAAGGGGCAGTGGTTGCATGTGGGGTAAGAGAGGACTCAAAATGCCCAGTGAAGCTCTGGAAATGTGATCCCATGGCAACCAGTGCAGCCAAGAGGCTGATGAATTGGTGGAGACATAATCTGGTGAACATGGAGCTCTTGGAGCAAGTCCAAAGGAGGCCACGATGATGAGCTGAGGGCTGAAGCAGCTCTGCTCTGGAGCCAGGCTGGGAGAGTTGGGATGTTCAGCCTGGAGAAGAGAAGGCTCCAGGGAGACCTTAGAGCAGCTTCCAGTGCCTGAAGGGGCTCCAGGAAAGCTGGGGAGGGGCTTGGGACAAGGGCAGGGAGGGATGAGATGTGTGGCTATTGCTTTAAACTGTAAGAGATTTAGGTCAGACATTAGGAAGAAATTCACTACGAGGATGGTGAGAGCCTGGCCCAGGCTGCCCAGGGAAGCTGTGGCTGCCCCATCCCTGGCAGTGTTGAAGGGCAGGTTGGATGGGGCTTGGAGCAGCCTGGGCTGGTGGGAGGTGTCCCTGCCCATGCAGGGGTCAGAACTAGGTACAAACACAAGCTGCTCATCCCCAGCCAGAGTTTTTCCCAGGAAAGAGCCATGGGCTGCCCTGTGGCACATCCCTGACTGTAACACCACTAACCACCACACAATAGTTAGTAGAGCATTTCACTAGGAGCTTTAACCAGAAGCCTTCAGGAAAAGGCAAGGAACTACTTGGTTTCCCACCAAACCTAGGGGAGCAGGGAAAACACTTTACCCTGAGACAGAACAGAAAGTCCTCAAAATTGTGCACGAGGACCTGCACAAAGGAGCACTGCCTGCTTCAGCCCCTCAGCCACAGGGAAAACAATCCCTGCTAGTTCATGTGAAGCCACAGGCTTGGTTTTTGCATCTCACAGGTCTTACTGTAGTAAGAACCAGGTTAAAAACATGTGAAACTTAAAGCTTATTTTCTATGGCTTAAGTAAACTATGGGAGAGTAAAACTATCATAAGCTAGTTTTGGTCAGAGGAGAAAAAGCTCATATTTACTACATCATTCCTTTTGCCTTTGTTGTTTTTTCTGGACCTTTGACCCCCTGGGGTTTAACATTGGTCTTGATGCCCACTTCTTTTAAACTATCCCCACAAGAGCCAGTCGGTACCTGCACCGTGTCCCGTAGGCACATTGTCCCTTCTGGTAGTACTTGCAGATGGTGGAGGATTTGCTTGTAGATAAGTCATGTGAGAAGTGGCACTTGCTCCCCTCCCGGCACACCCCTTGCAAGTAGTACCTGGGGAGAAGCAGCTGCGGTCAGAGAGCTCCGGGTTTTCCTTCCCAGAGCAAACTTGGGAGCAGCATTTCCGACTGTCCCCGGCCTGGCTGCTGCCTGGGGGTGAGGCTGCCATGTGAGGCGGGTCCCAGACCCCGGCCCAGCAGCACCAGC